CGGCCTGGACGGAGCGTTCGGCGTTCCGGCGGGGCTTTCCCCTCCGCGGGCCGTGCTCTGGGGCAGCCGCGGGGCTCTGGGCCGTGTGGGGCAGCGGGTCTGGAGGTGCTGCTGCCGCCTCCTCGCCGTGCGGGGTCTGTCGGGGCTCGGCCCGGAAGGGAGGGGAGTTTGGCTGAGGGATAACAGAGCTGCCGGTCGCTCCAGCTTTGAGTGCTTGCGTTTCGTATCTAGTTAGTGGTTGTAATTCTTAAAAAACGAGGAATGAGCGTATTTCTCATTCTGAGTTCAGTTCTCTTGAACTGAACCTCATTCCTAATTTTAGAGCGAAGGAGCCTTTAATGGGGAGTTTCACTTTTCTCTCCATTTTCAGAAAGACTTTGTGATTATTCATTAGGCACGGTTGTGGCATGAGGAGGGGAAGACTTACAAGAGTTATATTAAAGCTGCATGGGAAGGATGGACTTTTCTAGTTTACCCTGTGTTTTCCTATTTACTGACTGCTAGAGCGAACCACAAAGTTTGGAGTTTACTAGTCATGTAACATAGTTTCCTGTATCAAACTGGACTGAGCAATAAATACACTGCTCTGAAATTTTGATCTTTTCCTCACAAGTTGGAGGCTATGGAAAGTGTGCAGTCATGACACGTGTAAGTGGATGTAATTGCATGAAGTCTGACAGTACTCTGAAAGCTATTGCTTACAAGTGTAGCATTAAAGGAAGCTTCTGTTGAACCAGTGGCTAAATTATTTCTTCTACATCACTTGCTTTCATCTTGCCTTCCCTTTTCTCCCCTGACCATGTACTGCTGTTGTTAATTATATTGCAGCTTTTGAAGGACCAAAGGTAGGTAACTTCTTGTTGACTTGTAACCATGAATTAATTGCAGCTGGCAGCTCTGCAGTGGTTATTGATATCAAACCCATTACAACCCATGTTAACTATGATGCAGATGCAACAGAGAAAAAATGTTTTCTTATTCAGATTACGTATATAAAGCTTTTGAAATATTTACATGTAGAAAGGACAGGGAGTATATTTTACAGTTTTATTTTGTCTGCTAGGCTAGGTGTCTTTTGTTTTGCTATGTGTCTATATACCAGAGTGCACTAAAATAACATCCAAAGGTACTGTTAATCGTTGTCTTTATTAACTGTCCTGTTCTGATATTGGGTTATGTATTGCATATCAAAATCCTGAAAAAAATATTGCTTCCATGTTAACAGACTACCTATTCAAGGTTAACTTTGTAGTTCTGTTGTAGTCTATTAGCTGTGATACACAAAGAGTGTAAATAGACGTGAGTGAATGGAGACATCATCTGGAATTTCCTTAGTTTGGAAATCATGGTAGATCACTTGGAAAAAATATCCATGGTTATCTTTGTTGCTAAATAATTAGATTGTTCTTTTTACCAACTTTTGATTCTTTGTGATGCTTAGTTTACTTTCTGACACAAATCATGGAACTCAATAAATCAAGTCAAATAGCCTGTTGTTGGAAGCAATCATTCAGATATAAAATATTTTTTTTTACAAATGCTGGTGGTGAAACAGGATAGTAATTGTTCTTAACATTTGGGAACATGTACTGCAGTATATGTAAGGAGCTTCCCATGCAGCAAAACATAACTCACACTGTATATAAGTATTGTAAAAAAAAAATTTTGTTTTGTCTCCCCAGATTCCTCACAAAGCAGCAACTAGAAATAATCATTTAGGAAAGGTGCTATACTTGTCAACATTTGGGTTTTAATTAGCTGGAATACAAGATGCCTATTTATGCAGTTCCTGCCAGGAGTCCTGCTGGGACACGATGCACGGCCGCTTTCCAGAAGGCTTCCTCACACAACACCCTGGCCAGCAGTAAAGTATCTGGGCAGCAGCTGAGGTCACAGGTGTTGGGAGAAAAGGATTGTCTGACTTCATGTCCTCAGAATAAGACTGAGGAAATAAATAGGACCTATGTGATTTCAGCTTGTGAAAAAGTGAGTGATGTGTCAACTTCTTTTAAACTGGAAGGCAGATTAACACTCCAGAGGAGAACTGGAGCAAGCAAAAAATCAGTGTCTGGTAGTGATGCAACACAGAGTACGGAAGAACTACAAACAGAGAAAAGACTTACTCTGCGGAGGCGTGTGAGGACTGGTTCCACAGAGAAGAGTAAAATTAATCAGAATATTGTGTCTAGAAAGGAAAATGATGACTTTGCACAAAGAAATGACAAGATTACACTTCCACAGAATATTAAGGGTACAGATGGTGTTAAACCAAACTTGAAATTAACTGAGAGTCAGTCAAGTACCAAGTTGCAGCATAACCTGAACAGCAAGAATTCCTTTGGTTTAGTTGGTGGTGTCTGTGAAAACGCTATCAACACGTGTTTGAAAGATAAGACAAGCACTGCTGACACAAAGTTTCAAAATGAAGTTCCGAAATCAGAACGATTCATTACCTCAAAATGTGCTAATAGGCTGTCAGGAGAACAACTGAATGAGAAAGACAATCTAAATAAGTTAGCTGGAAAGCAAAGGGTGCAGCACCTGATGATAAAACACAACAGCTTGGAAAGACCAAAGACACCAGCAAAAGTTTTAACAGAAAGATTTACACCAAAGAGCAGCACTTCTCAAGATCAACCATCTCTCAAGTCAGCCTCATATGAACAAATACCTGATGTGCAAAATTTAGCCAAGAAACTCCCTAGTGTCTCTAGCTCTCTTCCTGTGAGTACAAGTTCAGAAACAAAAGTGAACACAGAAACTTTAGCTGAGAGCAGCAGTACTGGGGAAGATGTTTTCAAAGTGAAAAACAGCAAAGTGATTGTAGCTGTGCGGGTGCGGCCCCTTAGTAACAGGTTTGTATCCTGGACTTATTTCTGGTGCTAACAGTGTGTGTTGATTTCTATTTTGTACTTGCTATTTCATCATTGATCCAATAAGGATATAATACATGGAAATTAGTTGATACTTCATGCAACACCAAGATAGATTTTATTAGGAAACTGAATAGAGTTTATTGGTGTTTGTGTCTGTTTTTTGCATATTCATTAACAAAACTGTTTTGAACCTTAATACTTTGTATGTTCCTCAAACAGGTCTTTTTAGCAATGATCACTGTTTTTTTTTTTGTTTTCCATTAGGCAGTGAAATGACTAACTTAAAGCATGCAGCTAATATTTTTTTATTTTCCAACCTTTTCCATTCAGAGAGAAAACTGAAAACTCATTCCTTGTGGTCTCCATGAGTGGTTCAGAGACAATTGTACGAAATCCATCCACAAACCAAATTTACAGCTTCAGTTACGACTTCTCTTTCTGGTCTTTTGACAAGGGTCATCCTAATTTTGCAAGCCAAGCAATGATTTATGAAACTTTGGCACTGCCACTCCTTGAAAGAGCTTTTGAGGGATACAATGCTTGCGTTTTTTCTTATGGGCAGACTGGCTCTGGAAAATCATACACGTAAGTTGCTATTAATAATTGTTAAAATTCTGCCAATTGTTATCCAGGGTTAAGTCATGAGAGATTGAATGGAATAGATTTCAGAGTGATTGAATTGTGTTAAAAGGTTATTGTGTATTTTAAAAATAATTAAACCAGTATTTATAGCAATTAAGCACAAGTTAACTTTGAAATGTTTTAATGTATGTGACGCTGACTTCTTTCTACGTTTAATGGAGAAAATAAAAAGTTTTCAGATATTTTAGTCAAGGAAAGCATTTATTAATGCAGAGAGCTTGTCAGACTCTCCCAGTGCTGTTTTTCACTGCTGTTTGTTACTTTGTGCATGAAGTGTCGTAGTAAAGTATAGTATATTTTTTTGAGAAGACATTTGAGAGATCATTATATTTTTGGTCCTTACACTTCAGAACTTTAAATAAATCCAGATGTTTGTGGCACTGCTAATTTGAAATCAAATCTTTGCACAAAATAATCCCAGAAAACTAACCTTTTTAAGGTTTATAGCCAATTGTGTATACCTTATTTATATTTTGAAATAGAATGCCTAGTGAGCTGTTTGATTTCCAAATATGCATCTTATTGCATATTTATATATGCATATATTAAAATTAGTTTGAGTTTTTTGACTCTTTAAACTCTATAAACTACCTTTTAATAAAGGTAGTTGAGGACCAGAAATGTCTGTTCAATTTACAATAAATATAGAACTTACACAGAAGTAAGTTCTCTTATAAGTGGATGAACTTCCATTTTAAGTGGATGAATTCAGTTTTTACTTACACTGTTAAACAACAGTGCCTTTTTTGCCTAAAAGAAATATAAACTCAGAATTGCAACTCTTATCCTATTTGTAGATTTGTAGGGGTTTTGTTTGGATTTTTTTCTTTCACTTGAACAATAACTTACCTTCACCCCTTTGTGTTTTGAACAAGGCTGAAATTAGTATCAGGGTCTTCTTGTCAAGCTTACACAGCAGATTTCTGCTGTGCAGCACTGTGTGTCTCTCGACTGCAGGTGGATTACTCCAGTGCCCTGGTATGCTGCTGTGGCAGAACTCAACGGGAAAAAACTGCACCAGAGCTGGAGAAAGGCTTAGGTTGCACTGAAAGTGTGCAGAGAATATAAAATACGGGCATGTTAAGATATTGAAAATCTATAGATTTAGACTCCTCAGCTGCTGTAGAGTCTTTGTTTTACTTGGGTTTTCAACATATTTCTCAATGGATGAAATAGAAAATACCTCTGGATATCACCTTGTCCAACTCCACATTTAGACAAGCACCAATTTAGATCAGGTTAATTTCTGTTACTTATTGTTGTATAACTTAAAAGTGTGTGGCATGGCAACTGTAGATCTGTACAGTTAACATTAAAACTGTCTATGGAGAGTTAGAAAACTAATCCAGAAGGATTTTTGTTGACTGCAGGATGATGGGATTTGACGAAGATCGAGGAATAATTCCAAGGCTTTGTGAAGATCTTTTCAATCAAATAGCACAAATGGACAAGCAACAGGTGATATGCTTATGCCATTGGCCTTCTATTGGAATATGAGGAAAGTGATACTTTAGTACTGATCCCTTTATTAGAGTTCATACTCTTTTGCTGACTCAAATCTTATTTGTTTTCATAGCTCTGATTCATAGGGTTCCCTAAACAGTAAAAATCAACATTGGTTTGCTTTCTTAATGGCAGTAGTATGAGAAAGAAATATGGGCTTGATATTTTTGTTGCATCACTAGACTAGGATTCTTTCCTCTATATTGTGTGTTTTACATTTTAAGATTTATGTGAAGACAGGCAAAACAAAATCCCAGTGGGCTTCATACTTTCAGTGGAGAGGCAGTAAAATAGAGCTCGAAAATATGAATTTATTATTAAACATCTTGTATCAATATAGCAATCAATCAATACTATCACTGTAATAGTATTCAATTTAGAGTATTCCATCTCAGTATTCTAGCTGAAACAAAAAAATAACTCCCCTTTCTTTCTTTATATTTCTTTCTGTGTGGTTGATTATGTCTGTAATGACTGACTTGTGGTTCAGCAGACCCTAACAATGAGTTAATCTTATTCAGGCAAACTTTTCCATTTTTAACCATTCCAAATTTCTTTACTGCTTTATATTTTAATTCTAGGTATTGAATCCTAATACCTGTGAACATCTAATAGTCAAATCCTTCAGAAGATTTGATAGACACCGGAGAATCTAAGAGAGTTATTTATTGCTGAGTTTGGCTATAGAGTATAATTTATAAAAAATGCAGAGCTTTTTTTTTATTCCTTTGCTTTATGCACTGTGATTCTGTTGCAGTGAATTGTCTTGAGTCTTGTCTTCTTGATTCCAGTGCTTTAGGGGCTTAGCTGCAATCTTCCTTGTCTCTTAAAGAAAATACCATTCTTCTTGAAAATAGAAAAAAAGACTCAGATGCCTTCAGAGGAAAAAAATGTGTGAAAGTGTTGTTGTGGTGTTTTTGGTTTTTTAAATTGCTGTAGGTAGAATCAAAGTTTACCTTTCCATTAGGTCATTCTGTTCCATGTCAGGATGTTGATAACATCAATCCATGCCTTCCCTGTGGCAAATATCATGCTGTAGAAGCACAATCCCTAAGGGAATGAGATGAGTGCAGGTGCAAACAAAACAATATTTTCATGTACTAAAAGCCCAATGCTGAAACTTCTAAAGTGTATATATATATACTTTTTTTAAAGTGCTTTATAGATTCCATGTGGGAATGTCTATGGATGGAATTCCAATAAATTGTAGTTTTGGTCTTAACAGAGGTGTTACAGTAGATAACCTTTATGGGTCCCTTTCAACCCAAACTGTTTCATGGTCTAATTTTTCTTGGAAAGTCCCTTCAGAACAAATGTTTGTAACATTGAAAATCGGGATCTGATAGTCTAAGTTAATTTTTTAAACTAAGGATGATGAATATGCTTTGTGTACTATATTAATAACTATTATTAATTTTATTAGGTTTTGTATCATCTTGAAATGAGCTTCTTTGAAGTATACAATGAAAAAATTCATGATTTGCTTGTCTTTAAAGCTGAAAATGGACAGAAAAAACAAGTAAGTTGCTCACAGAATCAAGTATCTGCATAACCTCTAAGTAGTGGCATTTATTCTGAAACAAAAATACAGAAATGGCAAGTGATCATTGTTTTTTATCTAAGTGCCTTAGTTGTGAACCATGGGATTCAAGCAAAAAACAAATAAAAATATCAGACTATCACCACACGACTTAAAGCAAAATGCTCGTCACTGGAGAAATGCTAAGCAATGCTGAAATAGAAACAAAATGATTCAGTATAATCTATCAAAATAGTTAAAACCTCCCCTCATCTAAAAAGTTAAGACAATTTTATCAGCCTTTATAAAGTCTCCTAGAATATATCTAAATCTCCATCTTATAATAAGAATCTTCTGTACAATACAACTTGAGTTAAAGTATTTTAATTTAGATGGAGTTTTCTTTTTTTGTTGCCTGGTTGTCTCTTAATGAGCTGGAGTAGTGGGGAAGGAAACCAGATTGGCCTGATTAACTAGTTAAGGATTATTGGTTAAACCAGTTTAGCTAGTGTTCAGTGGTTGTGTATTAGAATATGTAAAACCATAAATTAAATAAATTTGTCCTAAGTAGTGTATGTAGGGAAGGTATTTATTATGTCTGATTTATCAAAAAAAGGTGCGTTCTTTGCTTTGACATTGAACATTATCCTGGCATTTGTGTGTAAATTGAATATTAGTTTATTATAGATGCAACAGATGGTAAGCAAAAGATGATATGCAGCATCCAACTTGCTGTTGAAATAAGAACTTTACCTAAACTTGGGACTAGCGTAGACTTGTTATAAAGAAATTAAGAACGTACTGTCTTGTCTAAAGCAGGAGTGCTTTCACTCTGAGTTTTGCCAGTGATTTTGGGGTAAGCTACGTAGAAATATAATAGATTTGTGCTGTAGAATCTTTTTTTAAGGATATTCTTGAGTACTAGATCTAACTAATGCACTCCTAATAATTTTTATTTTGAAATTATTCTCATCAGCTTCGTGTAAGAGAACATCCAGTGCTAGGACCATATGTGGAAGGCCTGACAGTGTAAGTCTTAAGTGTACTTATTTTAACAGATTTATGGTGTAATCCAGAAAGAGGATATCTTGAGGCTCTGAAAAAAGGCTCTGTGAAAGCTTGTGTACTCACCAGTAAATTAAGCAAGATCCCAGTAGTTTCAGAAAAATGCATACCTATGACTAGCTTGATACATTTTCTTCACTGTCATAGTGAAATCTAAAAATGTGGAAGTCTCAAGACAACTGCAGCTTTCATTATGTATCTGTACTCTTTGTAACTGGGGAAATGTTGCAGGACTCAGGCAGCAGGGAAATCTATAGAAAGAAAACCATCTGAACCCAAACCTTTTTTCCCCGCTCTAGGAATGTTGTTCGTTCTTACTCTGATATTCAGGTAAGAGTTTTTCAGTTACTAAAAGGGAATACAAGTATTTCTGCCTGCCCCTTTTCTGCTCATTGCTGAAAAATAAATTCTATGGATGGGAAGAAAATGTTTAACAGACTATCCAGTAGTCTATGATATTTCCGCTTATTTTGTAAAAGAGTGATGAAGACTAGTCCTATATAATGGAGCTGAGTAGATTTGTACAGTCAAGTGTCACTGTCCACATAGTTATTTCTAAAGTTTAATTTTTAATTCTTCTCTTATAGACATAATCCATGATAATAACTGTATTTGCAAACATTTAAATCTTCAGTTAACAATCCAAAGTAGGGCATGGTTTCATTTCATGACTTTTGTCTTTTACAGAGTTGGCTTGAACTAGGAAATAAGCAGAGAGCAACAGCTGCTACAGTAATGAATGACAAGAGCTCTAGATCCCATTCTGTCTTCACCCTTGTCATGACACAAACCAAGGTATTGCTGGAGTTTTTTTGTATCTGTTCAAATCTGGTAAAAAGTTCTTTTGTGTGCTGCCTAGAAAGTTGTGAGAATATACTTGAAGATCTTCGAATAAAGCACAGGGAATTTTAACATGGCTTTCTACATCACAAAACTTGTTTTATTTTACATGCTTTGAGTAGATTCTGATGTCTTTGTGCTAAGTATATTTATAGCAGCAGTATAAATATGTCTTGGCTGACAGATCTAGGAGTAGTTCCAAGCTTCTCAGTGTGAGTTTTGAGATGTAGCAGGAATCCTAACTGAGGCCAAATTGAATTTCACACTGCTGCCGACACATCTTAGCTTCTAAGAAGGTTAGACTGTGTGAGATGTGTGTCTATGCTGAGTTCTTGCAAGCAGCAAACTGGGGCAGTGGTAGGAGATGCAATTTCTGCTCAGTTTCAACACACTTCACTGAATAAATACTTTCTTGCTTCAGGATGCCTCTTCCCCAAGTGTCTCCAGGATATAGGGACTACAACTCCTCATCTGATTTCCAGATGCTTAAAACCTGACTTAGTGATGTGGGTCTGAAGACAGAAATGGAATAGGCAGAGCTTCTCAGGAGTCTATAGACTGTCAGTTTTCTCCATTGACAAATGACTTGTTGGTTTGGGGGTTTTTGTTCTTGATTGATTTAATTTTTTGTCCTAGTTTCCTGGATTTTCTCCTTTCTTCTTCTCCTTGCTGTTCTCACCACTACATAGATTTTTCTTGATCATAGCTGGTCTTGAGCTTTTCCACTGACTCCTTAACTGCTTTTCATTGGTCTAAGTCATTAACAGCTTACTGATTTGCATGTTTATTGGATAACTGCAATTGGATTGACTGCAGTCATCAAACTTCAGACCCAAACCCCTAGCCTAGTAATCTGTTGGGTTTGCAGTTCATGCTTGAGCAGTTATTCAGCCACAACCAACTGATACTATGGTTATAAGTCTGAGCTTGGTCTTCAAGGGATGTATGCAAGAGTATTCTGTCAAAAATTTAATGGCAGCATGAAATTTTTATTTATTTAATGTAAACAGCTTGTCTGATTTCTGGTTATCCTTAGGCTTTTTATTTTGGTTTGAATGCCAGCATGTCCATTTCTTTCCAGGTAGAATTTGTGAATGAAGAACAGTGTGAACGTAGACTCACCAGTCACATAAATCTAATTGATCTTGCTGGCAGTGAGTGCTGTACAAAGGCTCAGACCACTGGAGAAAGGCTGAAGGTAAATCAAGAGATAGGAAACAAGCCATTTCCACAGATTTCTAAGAACACCCTTAAACTCCAAAGCATGCTCACCTAATGGGACTTTGAGGCAGGAACTGTAGCCATAAAAGGATATCTGTATAGCCCTTATACTTACCAGTATTACATCACATTTTGCCAGTGAGGGTGGGTGGCCTGAAGAAGCTGTTTGGACTGGGCAATGTGGCAGATCTTTCTTAGAACACCTCTCCCTGTGTTATGTAGGTCTAATAATCCTGCAGGAGGAGTAAGGGCACTGGGTGCATTTCTGTTTCTGTGACTTTGGAAATCATGAATCAAATATCACATGGAATTGAGGTTTGCCCCTTTTTGGGGGCATCTAATTAAGTAGCTTTTTCTAATAAGAGACTTTATTTCAAGCTGCCCTCGTAAGTTTGATGGTTCTTAACACTACTTATTTTAAAGGCAGGGTCTTTGTTCTTTCCAAATGAAGATGCTCTTGCATCTTATTGTTTTTTTAATAACTAGTGACATTTAATGTGGTACAGCTGTAGCATACATTAAATGAATGTAACTAATCAACAGTACAGTTGATAACATCACACAAGAAACTGCAACTGTATTATAAATATTTTTATTTTTGCTTTGTGTAGGAAGGTGTGAGTATCAATAAATCACTGTTGACCCTTGGAAGGGTTATTTCTGCACTGTCTAAACAATCTCAAAATGGAAAGAAAGCTTTCATTCCTTACCGGGAATCCGTCCTTACTTGGTATGTATGTTATATCTAGAGACAGAGGCTTTCTGAGACTGTGATTTTTCTATTCATGAGGCACCACTTCCCATCCTTTTTCTCACTGTCTCTCAAATGACCTGTGGAAGGAAGAAATGAAACTATTGCCCCAGATAAAGACTGATCAGGAGCTTGGTTTGTATTTTAAGTAGCTAACAGGCCCTCTCAAAAAAGTAGCAAGACCCTGGGTATTTTGTATTTAATCTGTTACAATTGAGAAGTTTCGAATTTTTCCTTCAGTGTGAGGACTAGGGATTAACTGGTATTCTCCTGTCCAATGAAGGCTGTTAAAGGAAAGTCTTGGTGGCAATTCCCAGACAACCATGATAGCCACAGTGAGCCCAGCTGCCAGCAGCATTGAGGAGACGCTCAGCACACTTCGCTATGCAAAACAGGCTTGTTCAATTATCAACATTGCTAAAGTAAATGAAGATGTAAATGTCCAGCTGATCAGAGGTGAGATTGATATCTGTAGTCTTTCAAGGTTGTCATTTGCATGTGTGTTTAGCTTATTTCTTATAAGAGTTGTTACTACTAATATTCTGTTGTGTTGACTGTTCCCTTGTCAACTAGACTAATACAGCTTGGGATGTCTTCCTTTTAATATTATTTTTCTTTGCGAGCTTGAGGTGATGTCTTAGGCTACATCTGACCTGAGATATTAGGTCATCTAACTGGATGAGAACTGGAAATAGAGAAAGGCATTTTGTTTTTAAACACGTAACAGGATTAATTTTGTACTGTTTTGCTGAATTGTGTTTTGCCTTCATTTTTTACGTGTACTGTGTGTCTGGTTTGTCTAATGTAGAATTAAAAGCTGAAATTGAAAAACTGAAGGCAGCTCAGAAAAGTGCTCTAAACACTGACCGTGAAAAATACAGGCGTTATTTGCAGGAAATAACATCTCTGAGGATAGAATTGTGCCAGCAGGAGAGGAACATGGCAGAAATGCAAAGGTCAGGCACTCATTGGTGTCTTAATTTCAAATGGAAATGATACAGTTTATATGCTGCGGTTTTTCTCCTAATATGTTATTTTTTCCACATATTAAGGGCCTGGAAAGAAAAACTTGAACAAGCAGAAAAAAGGAAATTGGAAGATATAAAAGAATTGCAGGTACATTTTTTTTTATATAGGACAGAGTACAGAAAATATACTCTCAGCAAACCATGCAGAAGAATGAGAGTAGTTGTAAGATTTGGTTTCCTGGATACTCATCTTTTAACAGATTGCTGTGATTTCTTAGAAAAAAATTAATGTAAATATTTGAATGCGTAAATTGTTTTTTTAATGAAGAGCTCTTTTTTTGTCTAGAAAGCTGGAATTGCATTCAAAATGGACAATCATTTACCAAACCTTGTCAATCTTAATGAAGATCCTCAGCTTTCTGAGGTGCTGTTATATATGATCAAAGAAGGAGAAACTACAGTTGGAAGGTGTACACCAAATTCAAAACATGATATCCAGCTTTCCGGAGTGCTGATTGCTGATGACCATTGGTTTGTTGTGTTCTTTTTTTATTTTAAGTTTTTTCTCGCCCTTCCCTTTCATTTGGGAATCACTCTTCCTTCTGGCAGTAACAAAATACAGTTTTCTAGCCAAGAAAATACTATGTAGGGATGTTTTTTGTACTGCTCAATGATTACGGCAACTACCTTCTGTTCTCTCTAGAAATCTGTTAACAGAGGTAGTTTGGTTTCTTTGTGCATTTCATTCATGCAGCAAAGTTTTCTTCTGCAGCATTTCTACATGAATAAGACCTGATCAAATAATGCTGTGTGATAGATAAATAGTATGTTAAGTTCAGTGGAAAAGTGAAATGCCTTGACAGTTCTTAATTTAGTAAAAATAGACAGCAGCTTGGCTGCACTGCAGAAATATTGCTTAAAATGCATTCCATGCAACTGATCCTTGAAAAAAATGCTGTAGGAAATGTAACTAATCAGTTACTAAAAGCATCACATAATCAAAGAAATTCACAGTGTATTGTAGTAATTTTCTAGCAGTGGATTCTTAGATATAAATATAGGTTCTCTACCAAAATATAGGTTGTCATTCATTAATTGTGTTGTACCTAAACAGTACAAAGACAATACACATCTAGGAAAACAATAACATCTAAAGCCTGCATTTTAGTCTATTAAAAAATATCTTGGAATTATCATGAGCTACTAATACTGTAAATGTTTCTTGTTTTCAGTGTTATTAAAAATACTGATGGCAAAGTAAGTATTATTCCACTTAGAGAAGCCAAGACATATGTAAATGGGAAATGCATTTTGGACCCAACAATTCTGCATCATGTAAGTAATTGATCTAGTAATAATAATTTGTTCATGTGTTGGTTTCTTTGCTTTGTTAATATCTCGGCTTCAAACTGCAAGTTTTCTGAGAACACTGTATAACCATAAATAGGTTTCTTCCTCTTTGATTTCTAGCTTCACCTGCATGTTTTAAGCACTGAAAATTTGCTTATAAATCTGAAAGTTTCAGCAGAATTTTTTTCCCCCAAACAGGGTGATCGAGTGATCCTTGGGGGAGACCATTATTTCAGATTTAATCATCCAGCAGAGGTTCAGAAAGTTAAAACACCTTCTTGTGGGACTTTGTGTTTGCATGATGGTCCAAAAGATTTTGAATTTGCAAAGAATGAGCTGCTTGTTGCACAGCGAGCACAGTAAGTATTGATTCTTCTTGTTCTGAAAATAAGTTCAATTGTTAATTCAACCACACAATTAGTTTTAGAAGTAACTGAAGATTAATAATTATTTCACAATGGGGAAAGTTGGAAAATAGCAACTCCATTTATAATGGAAGTCACAGACTTGGCTGAAATGATGCACACCTCTAAGGTTCAATCATCACAAGCTAATCCAGGTACCAACAATGTAGACCACTATTAGAGAAACACGTAGCTGCAGGGATCCTCAGAGTAGTGTATCTCTTCAATCATGTTTCTCCCCAAGCATATAATGAGTCTGTAAATGACTTTAAAGTCTGAGAAGTAAATGGCTTAGGAAAATGAGAAGAACCCAAAATAATAACCTTGGTCTTCTGTGGTGGAGAATTTGAGAGACAGTGAAATACTATTTATACTTACTTCATTATGGGGTGTTATTAAACCACAAGGCTTATTGACTTAAAATTTAATTTTGCATCTTAATGTGATTGAGTTTGCATTGCAATTTAAATTCTTTAAATTTGTGCAAATGATGTAATAAAAATAGAAATTGAGTGGACTTTGGAAATTCTGGAATGTCTTCCGTATTTACATAGGAAGTGTCTACCTTTTGTCGTGAAATCAAAACTATGTAAAGTATTTAAGTTATTTTGTTAAAAAAACCCTTAAACTCTCATGACAGAAAAATAGATTATAATCTGTATGCATTTTATAACAGACAAAGAGCAGTAATCTAAATGTATGACACCTGTAGGCTTGAATCAGAAATTGAAGAGGCACGACTCAAAGCCAAGGAAGAAATGATGCAGAGTGTCCAAGTAGCAAAAGAGATGGTTCAGCAAGAACTGATGTCACAAAAAGAAGCGTATGAGAGCAAAATAAAATCTCTGGAAGCAGAGGTGGTAAGTTGCTATTGCATCATTACATGAAATTTATCAATAAAGTAAACCAGAACCTGCAGTATGTGGTATCTGCTTGTTCGGTGCCTGGTTGGGCTTGTTTATGTGTTTTTTGTTTTGGTTTTCTTTTTCTTTTGCATATTATAGCAGCATTTTTGTGAAGCCTCTTAAAAACAGTCAGCCTTAGTAACAGAAGAAGTTGTCAAGTAGTTATCCTCTGCAGAGTCCTTGCAGGGATTGTAACTTGTAAGCAAAGAAAAATACCTACAGAATCTACCTTATTGCATGAGGCTTTTAAATCACTACACTGCATTGATTAATACAGTTTTCTTTCCAAGCTTGCATGCTACTTTGTAGTTTATTTTTTGGTACAGTTGCAACATGGATAAGTTAGTATGGAATAGTACATCATAGTAAAGCAATCATGATATATCTCATAGCTTAGATATTCTGTGGAAAACCTAAAGTGATGCTTGTGAATTGGGACGTAACCATTGCTGATGTTGAGTTGTGCATGTCACAGAGGCTGTGAGTTTTAAATGTATTGAGTATCTGCCTGAAGGATGGGTCAGAAATACTGAAGGAGTATTCCTCCTCTCACTTTTCCTTTTTGATATTAGAGAGAAGAATCTCTTAAGAAGCAAATCCAAGAACAGAATAACCAAAAAGCCACAACTAAATATCAGTTTAAATATCAGTTATTGTGTACTTTCTACTTGATTTTATGCAGAACTGATGTTTTGTTTGCAACCTGAGTATGGTAATGTATTCATGTTGGGGATTAACTAATGCTGACCTTATTTCTTAAATAATGTGGATGGTTTTGTTCCTGCACCAAAATTCAGCAACTGCTGCCTCTAGTATAAGTTATTACTCCAGACATTAATGTAAGTAATAACTGAGATTTGGCTAGCGTTCGTATATATATCTGACTGCTGCAACAAATAAAACTTTTTTAAAAAGCTGTTCCTTTTTAATTCCATTATTTTTTTGGGGCATTGCAGTATGTAAGTTTTTTTGGGGCATTGCAGTATGTAAGCAAACCCAGAGAACTGTCAGTTTGAAAGTTAATTATTTTATATTATTATAGCAGATGTCCAGTATAAAATTAATTCTGTGAGTCTTTAAAATGGCAGGATCAAAAAATTTAGCTTCAACAAACAGCATTAGGAGTTTTAGATTTTTTTTTTTTTACCACTGCCCATTTTCTCCCAGGCTCTAGAAGACCATACTATTCATCATGTAAAAATAGTGGAAGCTCTGGAAGCTGAGAAGCAGAAGATTGCTGAGGAAATCCATACCCTTCAGAAGAATCATGGAAGTGGGAATAAATCAGTGATGAGTATGTATATGCATAATGTTGTAAAGGCAGGGCTGGTTTATATTTTTCTCAGTGGGCATGGGTGATGGGTATTGATACAGGAACTTTTTCTGTTTCCCTAATACTTCTCTAGCGATCCTGAACAAGAAGTCTTCTGGTTGTTAGTCCTTTCTATTCATCAGCTGTGTGTATTGGACTGTGTTAAAAACTGTTTAATCACACAGTGGTTAGGTGGACATACCTGTAGTCTGTATTTATTCTAGTTGCTTAAAAGTCCTTCCCTGTCTGTCTCCACTGGTCAGGCATTAATTCATTGAGGAAACTGGAGTAACAGAATTTGTTTTCTTCAGTTTCCTATCTTGGCTTAATAATAATAATATGGTGTCTGGTCTTATGCCATTTAAAAGCGTAATCTTGCCTGGAAGAGTAATTCCCAATGTGTTGGGAATTCTTGGAACTATTGTTAGCTAGATTACTTTTTTGCATTTGGGTTGTGGTTTCTTTTCTGCCCTTTATTTTTTTTAAGCCTGAAGTTGCTGCATTGCATAGTTTGGTTCACTAAGTTAGTATGTTTTATATTCTTTATTAGTTCCATTGAACTGGAAGTCACTGAAGCTGTCTGTGATGATTAGAGAGGCTAACGCCATTAGCAATGCATTAGAGAAAAACACTGTTTTCTGCAGGTCAGTGTCTGAGTTACTTGATTATAATGTGTATATGTAATGGATATATAATATTTATGTATATATTTGGGGGTGGATTTGGGATGTGCAGTGAGCTGTTGGTGTTTCTTTTAACGTCTTGTGCAATTAAACATAATAAATTTCTTTTCCAAACTATTGTTAGTTAAGAGTGTAACTGAGCCTTTTTACTTTGAAATGTGAATTTCTGATTTGAATTTTAGATGAAGCTTTAAAGATATGCAATAGACAATTTATTTTGAATGCAGTGTGCTTTGGAGGTGAATCATTGCATGCCCATGTCTGCCTTACTTTGGTTCACGTATCAAAGTGGCCCTAAAGCATTGGTAAATGTGAGATGCAGTATGTCTGAAGAAATTTTTGTGTTTGTCATGTTTTTAGCCTCTGTATAATTCTACCTACAAGTATCTTGTTTATTTTTGCAATATTAATGTGTTTTTTTTGTCGTCTTCTTGTTTTTTAACTTTCTCCAATACTTAGGCATGACAAAATTGATGATAAAACAGGTACAGTGTCTTCTATTCAGGTGCAGGTTCGTAACATCAAACTGGGAATAACAACTTTTTGGAACCTGGAGAAATTTGAATGTAAACTAGCAGCAATGAAAGAACTCTATGAGGTCAGTAACAATGGAAGAACAACCACTAGTAATCAGTAATATTTTTGTCAAGGATAAGGTTTTGATAATGCATACAGGAGGAAAATCTTGGTGGTCTTTTGTGTTGCATATCTTAACAGCAATACAAATTACTACTTTTCACTAAAAACATGTAGATGCATTTGTCTATCAAGCAACAAGAATACAATAGAAACAAGTGACTTCAGGTCATTTTGTGTAGAGAGTAAGGAGCAGTAAGACAAGGATTGCTTTGTGATTCTTTTGGTTGTTCAATTGTTTTATGTTGTAAAAACTTGAATTTCTAAAGGAAATAATAAAAATAATAGAAAAACTTCAGTTTCTATTATTATGTTCTGTTTATCCATATGTTGACTACTTTATAACTTTTCTTTTTTTTAACTCTCCTCCTTCCCTGTCCTTGCTTTATTTTTTCAGAGTAATGATAGAAATAAAGCTGTTGATGTGTTTTATGATCCTGCTGATGAGTGGGAACCTGACCTTTCAGACAGCTCCATTTCCTTGCTTTCCAGAAGAAGGTAGAAGTAGTTTGTAGCTACTCTTCTATGCTTAAAACAAAGCAAATCATTGTGTAATTATCTAAATATGCTTTGTTCCACTCACATACACTTATGTCATCTGGTGAGTCTTCTCTTGTGTTCACTCATTCCCTTGGATTTCCTCCATGGACAAAAAAACGGGGCAAAAGTCTCTAGAGCTTTCCAATTTTCAGTGCAGGTATAGTTTTTAATGTTTCCTTCCCTCTTCTATGCTATCAAAGCATTTTTATAACAATGTAAATTGAATGTGGTCTAGGTCCGTTATTTGAAGTTTCAGCCTAATAACAATATTTATGAGTGACTCGCACATTTGTTCAAGCTGTAGCTCATCATGGAAATGCTTTTCTTTTCCATGTTTTTCATGTTCTTTTATCACCCTTTCTTAGAAGTAGAAGCTTCATGAAGAACAAGAGAGTTTCTGGATGTTTGTCTGAGATAAAATTGCAATCTATACAGAATAAACAGACTTCCTATATATCAGGTATTTGCTAAATGGCAGAACACCTTTCATTTCATACTGAGAATTTGAACCTACCACATGCATAAAAAACAGGTGCTTATGATAGTTGTTTAAAAACCTGGGGATGGAAAGCAAAATTAAAAATCTCCTGCTTATGATACCTTCAAATTTATAATGTAAAGGTGTTAACAGCAAGGATTTCTGTATTTTTGGTTATCCCTTCTTAGGGCAAAAGCTTGCTGACCAGCACTTTAGGAGCCTAATTTAAGAAATTTATCTAGAACATTACTCTGCCTAACTATGTGGGTTAACTGGTGAAAGATGCTGAATCCTAATACAGTAATATGGGGACTTAATTTGCTTGAATTATTGCTATTCATTCAATTCCTGAGGTTTCCCCAAGCATTTGGCCAGGTTTTACAACCATTTTTTTCCTGAAATATAGGATGCTTTTGTCTTCCAAATATTTGAATGCATTCAGTTATTTTAGATTTGTTTCAACGATCAAATAAAAAATAAAATTCAACCAATGTATCCATGTTAAAGAATTTCACTATGGAATTTGTACTAAGAGAATTTATAAATCATTTAGAACGTTTTACACATTTTTTCTGAATGACCGTCTTATGTAGGTGAATGTCTACATAAGTTATTAAAAAGACACACTGACTGCTCTTTCCTGTGAAGAGTTTCATGCATGTATGTTTTGCTTCTACCTTGTACAGGTTTACTGAACAAGTCCAGCATATGCTCAAGCATTTCTGAATTGTTTCTTCCTGGAATTTGCAAGGAGTCTATAAGTTCAGCTTTAGATTTGCTCGGACAGAGTCGTGAAGGAGGAAAAAGCATAGCAGATAGTCTCCTAACTAATTTGTTTATAATCTTTTCTGGGGTGTCTGCCATTTCAAAAGCCTATGAACAGCAAGATGAAGAATGTCAGGAAAACAGTAAGTCTTGTTTTCATAGTGGTTTAAACATTTCTTATGACTTCTTTCAGATGCACAAGCATTCATGTGTTTTTCAGTCACATGAATTAATGTTCCTACGTTCATTTGTAAAGGAGATGGAGCTGATAGATCTCTTTCTCTTATAGTTTTCTCTCTTGATCGTGCTGCTCAGTCCTACAGCATCAGAATTGTCTCTGCTTTTGACCAGATTGTGGTTATAAGTAAGCTCTGGCTTAATAATGTCCAAAAGTGTCCTGGATCTAGAAAAGTTGATGAAGAAATGAAACAGGAAATAATGAACTTGGGAGGTTATTTACAGTTGCTGTTGCAGGTAAAGCATATTAAAGAATTCATCTGTGTGTAGACAACTTCTCTGCCTTAATGTAGTATTTATTACAGACTTGCTAAAAACACTTAAATGTCCAATATGTGTAATGACAAACTAATGCGCCTAAGGAAGATAAATAGCCAAGTCTGCATTTTTTCTGGCTAAGCTGTTAGTTCCATGTGCTAGTAGAGAGTAATGCAGACCTTCCTGTGTCCAGGCCCTGACAGAAGCATTGGTTCTTGCTTGTAAAATGGTAAAATTAAACATATAATAAGAGCAAATGATAGTTTAAACAGTGAGGTGCTGCTTCTTATGAGGTGATGTTTATACAATCATAAACCAGTGGCCAGTAAATATTATTTTTGGGCACACTACAGCCTTATGAATCTTTTTTTCTTTTAAAACTATGCAGTATAATGGTATTGTTGCCCTGTGGTTGGAAGGCATAATTTTATAGCTGTGATAGATAAGCTATTTGAAGTAGGAAGATGTAAAGCTGAAAATGCCTGAATGTTGTGTGCTAGGAACTCCTGCTGTATAGCAAGTGTGCATTCTTTGACCAGAGGTGCTTTCTGGCATCAGTGAAAGATGTGCCTTTTTTCCTCAGGGGTGTTCTTCAGATATATCCTCGATGGTAGAAGAAGCATGGAACAAAGTAAACCAAACAGTGAAACAAACAATGAAATGCATAGGACACTTGGCAGTAGTCACAACAGCTGATATTTCATTTCCTGAAGAGAACAACATTCCTGCCTCTAGTCTACAGGTGAAGAAATGTTTCTTAGAAATACTGATTATGAATTAGGAATTCTAGTGTTGAGGTCACACAATCAGTAACTCAGGAGCAAATTGTTCCATATACCAAGTTCATCAACTGAATTAAGTATATTTAGAGTATATCTAATACTTCAAATTCAGGGTGAAAATGGATGTATTAATACCCTTTTTTCCCTTAAAAACCACATCCTGTAAATATGTGTAAGTTAAACCTATGAAGAGAAAGAAGTGTATGGTGCTTTTAGGACTGTACCTGCACTGAGATTATACAAGTCTGTTTCACTGAAATTCACTATTTATATTTTACTAATCTGTGTCTAAGTACTGCATGGAATTCACAAAAATATGAACAGAGCTCCTGTGGTCCAAGGAAGATGTGTCTGAATAAATCTGCACTGAATAACTTGCTCAAAACAAAATTATTTCTAGTCTACTGTAGAAAATGTTTTAATTCAAAACCACATCTGTTTCTTTAACAAGTGCATTTTGAACATTTGTTTTAAAAGGAATTTGTACTTGCCATTTATGATGGAGTAGGCTCAGGACTGGAATGTCTCATTGATGCTGTACAGGAGAAAGCAAGAATAGTACAGAAAGAACTTGTGAAACAATGTCCACAAAATGAGGTGAGATGAAATGAAGATTAAAAACTGCTACTCTGTCTTGGGAGACACTTGATCATGTTTTGTTTTTTGTACTTGTATTTTAAATCACGAGAAGATGATACTGTAGGGAGTTACGCGAAGTAGAGACTACAGTAAAAGCAATAAGCACCATGGTTAAAAATATTTCTGTAACTGCTAGAAAATTCCAGTAGGGAGGTTACTTGTGTACCCCTTGGAAACACACCACTTTCTTAGTGGGCAAGTCCTTTTGACAGAGAGACTGGCTGAATTCCAAGAAAATACTTAGTAAAGACTGAAATCATCTGAGTAATAAATTGTTCCTCTCAAGGAGAGCAAAACTTTCTTCATACTCTGGTTTTCACTGTTGTCATTCTTAATCCTACATATAGTAGGAAACCATCCAAAATATTTTATTTCAATGTCTTTTGCTTAACTCCCAAATACTTTATTTCCAGCAAAAGGAACTGAGTACTCTGCTTTCCAAATAACACTGTTCACTTGCAGCAAATCCTTAAGTATCTGTAGGATTTCTGCACATGCTTGTCACTGGTGCAACTACTGTGAAAATGGAAATAAAACACCAGAGCTACCCCTGCCACTTAAAATAATAGTGATACAAAGTTACAGGACAACCGTTCTTCAGTGAATATTTAAACGTGTTCATTGGATCCTCCCATAGTAAGGGTTTTAAAACCATGCAGATGTAATTAATGTATTTTACCAGTTAAATGTTTTTTGGAAAAAAATTGCATGTTTAGTTGCAGAAAATGATATTTCATTTGGGTATTTTTCTCCTTAGTGTGTTTGTTCTTTTTCTTTTAATCAACTTTGACTTGAATGAAGTATACAAAATAATTAAAAGTTTCTTGTAGATTCAAAATCGAATAAAGGATAATGTGGTGGCATTAGCCAGATTCCTTGAAAATAACATGTCTTACTGCAGAAAGGTAAGAGAAATGTTTCACATAAATATGTGCTTTGAGTCTGGTATTTAAATTTTAAGGATGCATTTATCTAAGAAGAGGAATGTGTGTATACATATATATATACATGTTCATACATACTGTGTATTTATGACTGCATGATAACACTTCCTGTCAGAGCAGCATTCCTGACTGGAATGACTAACTTTCCTTGATACTACATTTCCACTCAAAGCTCTTTTATTTTAATTTTACTTAAGCTAAAAAATTTCTGGAGGTACTTGTATCTTCCTTTTTGTGCTTGTCTTGAACTGCCTAACTAACTGTTGTGGGGTTTTTTAAGTTAAAAGATCAACTTTGCTAGTGTAATTGTTTTATAACTGCTGCCATCATTTATGACCACAGTTATTGGTATTTTGAATTAAAAGCCAGGATAGATGACTTATCTTCTGTGAGCCAAACATTTCCTGGATTTTCATGTAATTTTCTTTTTTCTTTTCCTAACCCTGTCAACCATATGCACCTCTTTTCAGTGCTGTCTTATGTGACAATAGGATATTAGCAATGATATGGATATGATATGGATTTGATTTTGTGTTTCAGCATTGGCTTGATCTATGTGACTGAAACCGTAACAGACGTGTTTAGTAGTCAATATACTATGATGTATTTGATTCTCTTTGAATTGCTCTTTATTAATACAGAAAGAAACAGAATCTCAGTTGCCAGAAGACTCTCTATATCGAGAAATAAAGAAGAGCACTAAGATTGCTGTGAAGTATTTGGAATTGGAGCAGTGCCTGACTGAAGTCTGTCAAATTGTGTCTTCTATGTTACAAGGTATTTAACATCTGTAACCTACGGGCTACAGGACACTTGCAAAGCAAGGGAGAGGGCTCTTTGATATCTGCAAAATGCTTTATTTGATTCTTCTTGGTTTTGTTTCTCATAGGGTTGTACAGAAACACCAGCCCTCTCAGGAGCTTTGCAGGAAATATTTCTGTTATTGCTGGATATTTTAACAACTATTTCAGTTTATTTGCCTTGTCTTCTGCAAACAACCCTATCCAGAAAATGCACGTGCCTTTTATGAACCTGGATGAATTAGACTCACTGGTTGATTCCCTTATTATGAATTTTGAACTTGAACAAGGACAGCCATCATTGCAATCTCAAATTATTTGTAGTGAAACTGCTGAGACTCAAGGAGGACAGTTTGAAACAGGTCAGGTTGAATTTGCTTCGAAATGGAGTGGGATTCCAGAATGCACACAGACTCCTGAGCTTTCTCCTGGTAGGATAGAATGGGTATAAAATGTATAAAATGTTATTATCAAGGAATTAAAGAGAACTTTTTCCTATTGCAATATATCACAGAAACATAAAATTTATTGCTAATGTTTTTAGTGAGTGAGTGGTGGGAAAGTAAAATGCCATGTTTGTATAAGTATCCTGTATTTCAACAAAGAAAAAAATATATTCTTTAAGAGGCTGTCAAACTTCCAAATATATTTTCTTTTGTTTTAATAGAAGTCTATTATGACCTAAGTTTATAATTAATAATTTATTTTTTTGAGTTTTTGCTTCACTTCAGCTGCATTATGATCTAGTAATGCTACTGCAACTTGAAAGTGTTTTTTAATGCCTTTTTTTAAACAGAGAAACACTTTGTATTTATTTATGTAGAGGAAAACAATGAGAGCTAGTAAAAGTACTTTGCAATCTTATTTGATGAATGCTTTTTAAAGTGGTTTTTAGTTCACCGAAGAATCTGGGCTTGAAGTATCAGTGATGCTGTTCAAAGTGATCTGAAGTAAGTTTATATTGGGTTTGTTGCTAGTGAGTTATCTTTTGATTGCTGAAATAATTTGTTATTCATATTGGAATAGAAGCATGTCTGTTCCTAAATAACATATAAATTACTCCAGCTTGTAATTACTCCCAATTCATTACTTCCTTGTGCTTGTTATCATTGTTTAACATCTTACTTTTGGTGTAATGGCTGAAGTTAACAGGAAGGATGGAAATTAATTTGCATGCGTTTTAGGAGGCCTGGACTGAGCACAGTTTACTCACAACAGTGCTGAGACATTCATAAGGTAAAACCTAAGGTTTTTTCCTATACATCAATGTGTCTGTTGTGGTTTAAGTCCAGCTGGAAAATAAGCGCCACACAGCCATTCCCTTGTTCCCCCACCAGTGGGGGAGAATCAGAAGGGTAAAAGTGAGAAAATTCCTAGCTTGAAACATAGACAGTTTAATAGGGAAAAGCCCCATACACAAGCAGAGCAAAACAAGGAATTAATTCCCTGCTTCCCAAGGTCTTTCCCCATGAACTGCAGGGGAATCTCTGGTCCATTTCCTCTGCTCCAGCATGGGGTTGTGGGTCCCTTCCACAGGGTGCAGTCCTTCAGGACCAGCCTGCTGCAGTTTGGATCCCTCATGGAGTTACAACAAATCTGTTCCAGCATGGTCTTTCTCCAGGTGTCCACAGGTCCCTGCCAGGTGCCTACTCCATCATTGGCTTGCTCTGGCTTTCCCTTCTTCAGGCCCACCTGTCCCAGTGTGGGCTCCTCCATGGGCTGCAGGTAGATTTCTGCCTCCACATGGATGCATCCACAGGTCTCAGTCTTTCTGACTGAAGCTCACACTAGAGTTCCAGCATGTCCAGTAGAGCAGCACAGAACCAGCAGCGATGCCCTGGCCATCTGCCAGTCCCTGTGCATCACCACTGCTGTCCTCAAAATGTCCCCAAGCCCAGCAGAGGGAGGGGATCAGCAGCACACCAGCAGGGAAAGCAAAAAGCAGGCACAGATGAGCACTACACTAATGTACTGTAAAGCATCAAGGCCAGGGCCAGCACAGGAGTCTGCCCAAAGCAGCCAAGCAGCAATAAAGGCTATAAATTCCATCTAACACATTCCAATCAAAGCTGTTATCTTGAACCTTCTGCATCCCATGGTGGGCATCAAAAGGGAACTATTGTGGTTTAACCCCAGCTAGTAACTCAGTGCTACACAGCTGCATGTTCACTGCCTCCCAGTGGGACTGGGGAGAGAACTGGAAGGGTAAAAGTGAGAAAAACCATGGGCTGAGATAAAGAAAGTTTAATGGCAAAAACAAAAAATTGTGCATGCAAGCCAAACAAGACAAGAAATCATCTCGCCATTTCCCATGGCCAGGCAGGGGTTCAGCCATCCCTCAGAAAGCAGGGCACCATCACATGTAATGGCTACTTGGGAAGGCAAATGCCATCACTCCAAATGTTCCCCCATTCCTTCTCCTTCCTGAGCATGATGTCACATGGTCTGGAATGTCCCAGCTGTGTCCTCCCCACTTCCCAAGCACCTCCAGCCTCTTCATCAGCATGGCACTATAAGAAGCAGAAAAAGCCTTGATTCTTTGTAGCTTCTGCTCAGCAATAAAAAAAAAAAGTGTCTATGTTCTCATCATTGTGTTCAGCACAAATCCAAACCATTGTCCTGTACAAACTACCTTGAAAAAAATTAAACCCATGTAAGCCAAAACCAGTACAGCTTCCCAGGTGAATATTCATGGCTGTAATCTCTCCTTCTGAGGGAAGATGTTCAACATCTTGAGAATTTCAGTCTTTGAGGACATGTCAGGCTCTTGGAACTCTATCATGTGAAAAGATTGCAGTAGAATCAATCATCATTTTGTTTTGAAAATTTTGGTTAGAATTGATGCTGTTATTAAATTTTGGTTAGAATTGATGCTGTTATTCAGTGATTTTTGTGCTTTTCTGATGCAGAAGAAATGAGGAATATAATTATGCTGATCCAGTAACCCACATATATATTTCCTAAAGATTAATGCACAGTAGTACTTTCCCAGGAAATGTATTGCAGTGCAGTCCTGTCACCAAAAATATTCAGCACTTGCAGCTAATAATTTCCTTCTCACATGAGGTGTGATGCTTAATTCTTTTCTTACTGTAAAGGCCTTTGCAAGTTTGCTCAAGGGTTAAGAAAGTATATTCAGTTGTTGAGATTTTTATGCTTTAAAAGTAAAGAGGAGCCTGATATATTTCTACTTGTGAAAATGTATTATTTTGTATTTGGCTGAAATTTTAAAAACATAACTGGTTCTTCTGTGTTGTATCTAAGCATGAGAAATATAAAGAGTAAAACAACATCATGTACCTGATCACTGATTTTTATGACTTCAAGTGTGAATTCCTTGTTGATTTTCTTCACTTGATTTTGAGACCTTCCTTTGTCACTGAAAATATTGGTTTCTTGCTCAAAATATTGTAGTGTAAAAATACAAAATATTAGTAAGAGGTGTTTCCTGTAGCTCACAAGAGAAACCAAATAATTTCTTTACCTACCTATAATTTCTTTCCTTTGCCAAGACACATTAACTTCCCTCAACTAAAAGCACACGTCTATAGACTGAGTGTTCATGAAATAATCTATGCCTATTAATGTCAGAACAGTTAATTTCTTTCAATATCTGCTACTTATGATTATGGTGTTATGTCAAGTATTCATTGCAAAATCACATTCAGGTGTTAGCAATGTTCCACCTGCTCACATGATTAATCATGTTAGCTTTTGTTCTTATATTTAATGAGAAGCATTGCTCAGAAAACTGAGTTTTGTAGCTCTGTGTATTGTTACGAGGTTTTTTTTTCCCCTTTCTATAACTGAAAACCAAGTTTTCCACAAGCTTAGAGCTCAAAATGACTTTGAGTTATAGCATTTTGGAAACTCAGGAAGTGGCCATGCTAACTAATTGGTTTTTGACAGACTTTTAACTGAGGTATTGGAAGGGCCATCTTAATAATGAAATTTAGTTTTTGCAGAATGAGTGAAAATGTGCCAATAACTTCTTTCTGCTCAGTTGGTGTTTACTGTTCTGGGGTTTTTTTGCTGTTTTTTTGTTTGCTTTATTTTTTTCCTCTGTGCTAACCATGTCTAATGAATCCCTCTCTTATTCCCATTGTTAATGCACTATTTTGGAGTAAGATGTTGTCAAAACCTGCTAGTGTTTTCTTCAGCTTGGTGCCCTTGTTGGAGTTCTGCATTGTTGAAGTGCTTCATTCTCATGCTCCATACGGTGCCTGTACATCAGCAGTGAGAGCTCTCACACCTTTGAGATGTCAACACACCTAGCTAAGGCCCCAGCCATCTATGGATGCAGTATATCATAAGATAAGGTATATTTATAACTATAGATTAGGATATCTAGAAATTATTAATGCCAGGGAACTGACATCACAACCATTATTTATTAAAACACCTTTCATTAACTGTTACTAATGGAATTAAAATGTTTACTTCCAGAAGGTAGTTGTTCACACAGTACTTTCACTTCTTCACACTTCACTTGTACCCACACATAAAAATCACTCATGGCTACAAGGCTGGAGCAACAACTGTGAGCTTCTGACTCTGAATGCTCAGATTGGCATTGATGAGACTTTTATTTGCCAGGTACTTCAGCATGCACTCCACCTCTTTTTGGCGACTGTTTTTTCATCCACAGCCACATGCACCTGTAGAACCATTCACACACACTTATACAATGACAGAACTTCTATGGTTTGGGCTGAAACTTACTCAGTAGCTGAAGTCATACTTCTACTAAAAGCAGTAAATTTAATCTCAAAAGACTTTGGGGTTCTCAAATCTACAGCCTCCACCTCTGTGACACTGAAAGAAACTGAGTGAACAGCCAGGAACATGTGGGAGGTGTGGGAGGTGCTATGAAGTGTTTAGACACCTGACTGAGATGTATTGTTTTCTGCAGTCGCGATGAATTTACTTTGTTATATGTATTGATGTAATATGTGGTTTGTTGTGTTGGTGTGGGGGTGTTGTTCAGGTAACTTCTTTGCTATTTTTTTCCTTTATTTTTGGTTTATTTTCTTCTCTTTTTCCTTCAGGAAATTATTCTTCAGTCAGCTTTCAGGTCAAAAGTAATTAGAATTATAGGTACTTAACTCATGGGTTTTAATGACTGATGTAAAATGAAGGGGGCTTTGTTTTCATTTAAATGTAAAGTGTGGAGGCAGGGTACTCAGGCTGCTGTACCCTAGTTTAATTTGAAAATGTTAAACTACGAAAAATCTAACCAATGAAATGCATTCTCTTTACAATAGAAGTCACTTTAAGAAATAAATAAGAAATAGTTATTTCTTCAGCTCCATACTTTATTTTAAAAATAGTATTAATTAATAAAAAGGCATAATGATTCTGAGAGTACCTAATGTTATCCTGTCTTTATTGAGACATTGTGTGTGAGCTTTTAGAAGAAAGTGCAGTCTAGCTATGCTTTTTAAAGAATGTGTATTAGTCTTAGAAATTAAGGTTCAATAAACTCTTCTAGTACTTGCTTGAACAT